TATATATATATAAAATATTCTTAACTCTGTAACTTCTGTCGGTGCTGTGCTTTTTGGAAAACGAGGGATTAATAAAGTTTTATCTAATCTAATATTTATCAGTGATCTTTGTAATTGCTGAAAATCTGATGTTGTTACCTTTGGGCGAACTAGCCTGTCTTCCTTGTTTTTGGTCTTTATGCTTTGCCAAGCTAACTGAGCGCTTGCTCCATCTTAATGCTTAACTGACACATAATTAAATGGGATTCATTTTAATTGGGAATTATGATTCCTACAATTACAAATATTTATTTTGTAGTTATTGAAGAATAATTGTCTGAGTGCTAACATCTGTTTGTGGTGTAAATCCAGTGTTTCCCACAGTTTCAGATTTCATTTGTACCAGTATTTAAACATATTTATACAAATGTATGCATCAAAAATGTGCACACGCTGCTGTCTGTCTGGAAATATACTTTAAAATAATATAGTGTGTAAGGTGCTCCTGTGCAAAGATTTTAATGGACAGCTACTTTGTGGGGCTGCATAACAGGGTTTTAAAATCAGTTTTCCCCTCCCTCCCTCCCTCCCTCCCTCCCTCGGATGAACGTCCATCATGGTAGTCCTTGCTCTGCTCTGAGCTCACACTACAAAACATGAAACAATTGTCCTGTAGCTTAGAAGGAAAAGTTGAAACCAGATTGGCCCTAGTTTGCAGTGGATCTCCACAGCAAAATAAATACTACAGCTGGAGTCAATGCGACTGTGGCATGAGAAACTCTCTAACGAGACATCAGTGACGTATCGATGACTGCCACAATGGTGACCTAGCGAGTGAGCCAGCGGAAAGGTAATAGTCCACTATTAGATTTATGGCAGATGGCATTGTTCTTTCAGATGAAGAGGAAAAAGCTAAACTGGGTCTTCAAATACAGTTTAGCAGCTGATAATATATCCTAAATTGCTGCCCAATTAAAGACTGAATGTGGCAAACACAGACATAAGTGGAAACAACAAATGGAGAGCCTCAGTTGAGAAGTACATGTTTTATTGTGGGCTTGAAAGGTGATTTGTGCGTACTGTATCTAAACAGCACAGGCAGGTTTTTACTTTGCAAACATGTGATTGTCGTTCTTAACTATCTTTGCTGTCCGTTCTGCATTCATCAGGGATGAATATGGCATCCCAGGATACACACACAAAGAAGATAGGGCCAAATGCCCTGACCTATATGTGATGGTAAGAGTACAGAATTTCTACAAAGCCATAAATAACTTACTGAGACATGTCTGCGAGATACATTTCACATGATTCATTTTACATGACCTCGGTGTCTGACAACAGGACTTTGGGATTTGTAAATTATTGATTCATTTTTTCCTGTGTAGCTGTTCTGTGTCTTTGTGTGTACATGTCCATAAGTATTTTTTCCTTTTCTTTTCCAGGACTCAGATGAAGAGTATTACTTAAAAGACTTTAAAAAGAGGCCTCCTGAAGCCGAAGGCTATGCTGACTCCCACTGCTAGAGAACCCCGGTGGTCAGGAGATGTAACTGCAGCCTGGCGCTTTATAGGAAATCAATGCAGGATTTACATCTTCGATGCCACAGTCCACCACTCAGCCACTCCACCACTTGGTGATGAGGTTTGTTTTTGGTGACCCCTTTGGTAAATGCTCCATATATTTAACACTATGCAAATAAGTAGATTTTCTTTTGTATTCCTTATGCAACCCCCTCCCCCAAAACCCAGAAAGCTAGAATTTATAGGCTGTTTTGATTGTTTTCACACGACGGAGCTGGGGATGAAGAGAAATCTAAAGTCTGTGGTGTGAATATGGTATTTACTTTTTATTCTGTGTGCACAAAGCACCATGGCTGGTACTGTTTGGCAAACTGTCCTTGTGTATGCAATGTATGCAACCACAAATATTCTTTTCTTTTGTTTTTGTTAGTTTTTTGGAGATGCATACTTTTTTTTTTCTAATTTATTGCCTCCATCAGAGTGGCTGTGTGATATCTGTCAGTATCTCTGTTTTACTCTTGTGGAACATTTCTGTTATATCATTAATATTTGTAAAATAAAAAATAAACATTAACTGAGATCACTCATAGTATTTATAGTCAGTACTCTGTTTCACTTCCAGCAATAACTGTATGCATTTGCTTTTGGATAGTTGTTCGGAGGGAAGTCCTGTGTTTGACTGTAGATGTGGTTACGTAATGTAATATAACGGTTGGTTTTGGATGCACACCGTGCTTTTGCATCTCCTTTTCACAAATAAATTGAGCTGATTCTTTTGGCTTTGTAAGAAGATTGCTTTAAAAAATGATTGTACTTAATATAAAGAAATTGTTTATTCTTATTTTTTTATTAAAGTGATGGATCTGTATTTAACTTCTACTGAGACAATTTGATGTTAAAGTTCATGGCGCACTGCCACCATTTTCTGCTTTATTCTCCTTGTTTGCTCTGTTGCACTATTCATGAATGGATCTCTTCAACTATTCATGAACGTTCTTGAATATTCCTTTAAAAACTCTGAGGACACGCTGGAGTCTTGGAAGTACTTGTAAATTTGTGGTTGCATCTGTCTCATCTACACAGTCGTGGGCCTTGAGAGACATGAAAAGATCCAATAAACAGTCTCCAGCAAAACGCACTGAAAGCGACAAGTCCTCATTCTGTCTCATTTCTTTTCTATTTCTCAGTCTGCTCATTCATGTCCTCTAGGTTTTAATAATTCACAAACTGCTGTGGTGAAACAATTATCATTCCTCCTTCATCTGAACTGCCATGGCAACAGCTTACTCGTGTCAAGCAGGAAAAAAATATATTTAAAAAAACTGATTGAAGAAAGGAAACAGTTGGACTGTTGCCCGGACTCAAATTTCTGGATAAACCTTGTTCAGGAGACGCTTCAGATGTTCTGTTTTCCATGCTAAGAGGATATAGTATCATTCCGGTCTCATAATATCACTTACCTGCAGAGATTTACTGCTCCAAATATTGAGCCACATAACATCCATCTTTATAAATGCTCAATTATGCAAAACATTTTGCAGAACATCTGTTTTTATCAACCTAAAGTCTGCCTTTGGGTTTAGTAGCGATTATGACTTTCCCCTAGTGGAAGTGCTGCAGATTTACCTTATTTACCTAAATTTATTTGTGCTGTCGGATATTGTTACTGGCTGGAAATCGGAGAAAGTGTTGAAAGAAACTCGTCTAAAGCAGCATCTCGTGGAAAGTAGACCCAACAATGATCAATAAACCATCTGCTCCCCCACTGGGAAAACTCACTACCACTGAGTGTTAGGATTGTCACATGGTCTTTATAGCCAGATAAGTGTTATGTTTGGACCTAAAATCAGACACACATGGTTATCTTTTGCGTTGTATTATTCGACCTGTTGCAAAAGCAATGAGTGCTCTTCAATAATGCAGATATCCCACGTGTAAACAGAGCAAGCAGTGAGCTTAGGGTGGAAAATTGGCGCAGTGACACTGAAAGTCCTGGTCAGCTGGGGCCTTTCCTGTGTGGTTGTTCTCCCTGTGCTTTTACATCAAAGGCATACTTGCTGGTGCAAGTGGTGAGTGTAAACTGGTTGTGAGTGTATTTCCGTCTCAGCAATAGACCTGGAAAAATCTGGAACCAAAACCATTAAACTGGTGGACAAGTTCAAATGGCTGTTTCATTGCCTCTCCGGGCACACTGTGTCCACATGGTGTCGCATTCAGAAACAGATCATTCATCCCAGATCACTCCACACAGCTATCTGCACTCTGCCTGCTTATCAATAAGACATTCAGAGAGTGCAGAATCGAGTTTTTGTGTCTGCAGGTGTAAACTAGCACAGTCTGCCTGCTGATGATTAATGATTAGCCTTAGTCTGTATTTTCATTGAAGTGAATTAGATTTATGTAGACAGGGCAAGATTTCAAATACAATACTTAATACACAAATTACCCTGGAGATTTGTTTTTTCCACGGGGGGAAGATGACCAGCTCTGTCAGCAACAGTGGTAATGTTTCAGCCTACAGTTGCCTTCAATGCTAGCCTGAAGTGTAAAAGAAGGACACGTATGCTTTTTTCACCTTGGGTTGTTAATTTTTGACCTCAGTACCAAATAACCAAAAGTACTATTCTCAGACCTTTTAGATGTTTCAGGGGAAGGTATAGACTTTTAAGTATGTATTTATTATAATAAGTAAAATACTCACACAAAGCATCTTTTTTTCTTTACTAAAATAAAGTAGTCGATGAGAAGAATTCATATAATGGTGTCTCTTGAATGACGGTTTGAGATTTTCACAATGGCTTCGTTGGTGAAAAAAACACAACTGATGGACTTTGTGAGCATAAACATGTAATTTGATGTGAGCAGAAAATGTTGGAGCGCTGCAATTTCTGGCCACAACACCACCTCCACCACTTAATTTAGACTTAGGTGATGGGAGGTTGTCAGCATACGGTGAGAGAAGCCTAGTTTGCAGTGACACTTCAGTCATTCCATCTTAAATAAACATGAGCCTTCTGTTTGACTGTCTCCCATTTGAATAACAATATTATTATCCAAAGGCTTCATATATAAAATACTTTTCAAGATATATTTTTTTAAAAATGGTCCATCAACCCACTTTTGCACCGTTTTTTTGCACATTGAAATTTGAGGCGATGTTTGAACATAAATATCTCAAAAACTATTGAAGAAAAAAGACATAAGACTTTTCACTGCTCTTTCCTGAATCATTAACATGATTCAGGATATTTAATTTGGAACAGATACATTAAAAATGTCTGAATGTTCAGTTCAAATGAAAAAAAAAAAAGTCCCATACTTGAGCACATGCTAATAAAATACATCAGATTGTGTGTTGTTACATTTCCTAATAATGCAAAAATAGAACACGAATAATTGTTGACAAAAATAAAGAGAGTGATACTTTCATCAACTTTCATGCTGGATTGAGCAAAAATGAAAAAACAAAAACAAAAATCAGCACATAGTCTAATCCAGACAGAACAAAACTCTGGAGTTCCCAGATGTGGACTTTTCATACTTTAACCAGCCAATTATCTGACATTTTTTAATATATCTGTCCCATATTTTAGAATCTGATTCATTTTGATAGCATGAAAGACCAGTAGAGGAAAAAGGCTTTTATCTTTAACAGTTTTTGAAATATTCATGTTCAAATATTGCCTCAGATTTTAATATATAAAAAATGGGGCTTGAATGTGGGTCAACGGACCATTTTTCAAAACAATACATATTGAAAAGTATTTGAAATATGAAACAAAATCCCAAAATTTCACAACAATCATTACGTTTGTATGATCCTTGCATTTTTATCGAACATTTTTATGCAAATTGGAAGTGGTTGAGCAGAAAACATTCAAAAAATCTGCTGATTTGATATGGAACCGATCCCCGCTCCCTCCACCCGTAACCTTCTGTTTTTGCTTTTAGCATTGTGCTCTCTTAAAACAACTTAAAACATAAAATTACTGTCTATATAGTACTGCAGTGCATATGTATTTACACTTTCATAAACATATGAAAGAAAGTAAAGAAGAGAAATATCACTACACAAGCACACATACCCACTCATGCATATCCATCTTTGCATCACTGCTTTTTCTTAGTATTTACTTTTATTCGATCTTGCTTTCACTGAATCGCAGCTGTGGTTTCTTTCCAATCATGATTAAAATTTACTCAACAGTGAGTCATTTTATTACTTGTGACACTGTGTCTGCTTCCACTTAGTCCACAAGATTTGTTTCCCCCTTTTTCTCCAATGTTGTTTTTTTTTTCGGAATAGTGACACACACAATGCGTCACCTAGCAGGCAAAAGCATCAGACCAGTCACCTTGCATGGTAATAATACGTTTGAGTGCAGGCAGGCCGCTCAG